ACCTACAAATAAGTCAGCGAACATAGACCTGTTCAGCACTGGTGTTTCTGTTCCCCTATCCCAGTAGTCCATGTAACAGTTTTCCAAACAATACTCACAACACATTCATGCCCAGGATCATGACTTGAAGTATAACGACATCAGTGCACACTCTGAGCTATCCACACATGCTGACACACCCAAGCCGACCAATCACATGGTCCCTGAGCACGCTCACCCACAGGCCTACACAGCACCATGCTTTGGCTCCACATATGCGCCTCCGATTCCTATGGGCCTCACTCCAGCTTTTGAGGAAAGAAAAAGAAAGCTACCAATTGAGAGGCTCAAACTCCAGCAGGGCAAAAAGAGAAAGGTTGTTACATAAACCCTATTAAACAAACTTCTACTTGGCATAAATGCAAGCAACTTAGTTATAAAACATGACAAAGCCTTCACATACAGTTATCCCCTCACAGCAGTCTGCACTGGTGAGGGAGTCAACCAACCCTGGATGGAATACATTGGGAACAATGAGAATGTCTGTACCAACTATGGATACATGTGTTTTCTTGTCATTATTTTCTTAACAATATAGTACAACAATATAGCAAAATATAGTACAATGCTTACCTAGCATTTATGTTACATTAGGTATTATGAGTAACCTGAAAAGATTTAAACCATACAGAGGGATACATGTAGGTTATATGCAAATACTATGCCATTTATGTCCTTATTTTGGTTTTTTGAGACAGCGTCTCGCTGTGTAGTCCAGGCTGGCCTTGAACTCACAGTGACCTTTGTGTCCCTGCACCACACCTGTCCACTACACCATTTCATATAAAGGACCTGAGCACATGCAGATTTTGATAGGGGGAGGATTCTGAAGCCAAGGCCCCACAGATACTGAGGGACAATTATACAGGAAGTTGGATCCCTGGTACCAAAAAAAAAAAAAAAAAAAAAGGTATTTCGAGGGCTGGGGATTTAGCTCAGTGGTTCCGCTGTCTGCCTTGCAAGCACAAGGTCCCGAGTTGGATCCCCAGTACCAAAAAACCCCAAGACTGATATAACTAAAATCTAACTCATGATCTTCCTCTAAAACAAGTTGTCTTTCTTCAGGATCCTTTTTCTCAGTGAAGAACACGGCCCTACCAGTCCTCTCCTCTACTTCCATTCTACTCATCACTCGGCTCTGCTGGATATACCTCCTCAATATTCTTGAATCCACTCCTTTCTATCCCATCCACCCACACCACTTGTGTCCAACTGAGCCACCACCATCTCTTACCTGACATCCACTCTGGCCCCCTCCAACTCATTCTGCACCTTAAAGTGTTCTCGTTAGACAGTTACATCTTACGGTGCCCTTTCTTGCTCAAAACCCTTTAATGGCTCCTCATTCCTCTTACGATAACGGCAGAAACTTCGTAATACAACCCATAAAAACCTGGCAACTCGCAAAACCTGGCAACTCGCCGCCTGCCGCGCAAGTGTAAGGACCCGAGTTCGATCCTTGGTAACCAAAAAAAAAAAAAACTGGCAAGGACAAATCTATTTTTCCACCTCAAACCATGAGCTTTCTTTGCTCACTTCCATGCTCAAGCCTAAAAGTCCCTCACTTTCACTGTTCTGTCCTCATCCAGAGGGCCTGGGAGCCTCCCAGCATCTGTCTGCACAACCATCCTTCCTCTTTTTGTGAAGACAGCATTTTCTTCCTTAGGTCACAGTATCATTTCTTGCAAAATGGTCAACCTCACAAACACAAGTACTGTTCCACACCTACTCTTACTCCACGGTCCCAGCTGCAATGGAACATTCCATGTAACATTCTCCTGCCCCACTCCCACTCACCCTAGGTCCCACAAGGGAACCCAGATGCATGTTCCCTCCTCAATGTTACTGTTACCTGGCTCCATAAAAACATGCTCACTTTCCTGTAGCCAGGTCTTTGGGGCTGTTTTAAGGAAGTTTATTTACAACAAGCCTTATTCTGATTGCTTCTTACATGAAGAAACCATCAAAAACTCAAACTCCACTCAGTAATCTAAAAGAAAACAAGCTAAATTTGTTTGAATACAGTTTTCATTAAAAAATAATTAGTATTTTTTGGTACCTTGCTGTCAAGTCTCAAAGCAAAGACAAATCCATGATTTGGCTTGAAATCTGAACCTCTTCATCACCCTACCCATATCCCTCATAAATTACTCAAAGTAAATCTACCAAAAATATACCTTACTCACAAAATTCTGGGATAGTGTCCTTGGCCTGAGGAAACCCCACGCTATTTCAAGGTACTACTGGAAAGCCTTAGTGTAGATACGGTTGCTTATAGGAACTCCCTATTTTGTTGGTAAGCAAAGAGTTTGTGATAGTGTTTCAATAATTAAAAGTTATAAAAACAATGGGTATTATAATTCATGAAAAAATTTAAGATCCTGTAATAAACATAAGCTGTAGTATCATAAATTATTAACCATTTAGGAAAGGACAAACATTTCTACAGAAATAATGAAAGTTAAAGAGAAAAAAAGCTGTTTCTTCTGATTCCAAAATGGCCAAATGTCTTAGGATGAAAGTTCAATAACAAACCTACAATGCATGAAGACATAGGCATAGGCAAGGACGTTCTGAACAGAACCCTAATGACACAAGAAATAATACCAAGAATCAACAAATTGGATTATATTAAACTAAAAAGTTCCTGTACAGCAAAGGAAACCATCAACAGAGTGAAGAGGCAACCTACACAATGGTAAAAATATTTTTGCCAGCTACTCCTCAGAGGACTAACATCAAGAACATACAAAGAACTCCAAAAACTGGACTCCCTCCCAAAATAAAAGACCCAATCAAAAAGGGCAACAGAAAGGAATACTTTGCAGAAGTACAAATGGCCAATAAATATACATGGGAAAATGCTCATCATTGCTGGCCATCAGAGAAATGGAAATTAAAACTATACCACGATGCCTTCTTACCCCAGAAAGAATGGCTACCATAAAAAAATCTAATAATAAATGCTGGCAAGGATGTGGGGGGAAAGGAACTCTTCCACAATGCTGGTGAGAATACAAACTAGTACAACCACTATGGAAATCAGTGTGGAGATTCTTCAGAAAACTAGAACTAGAAATTCCATTTGACCCAGCTATCCCCCTCCTAGGTATCTTTCCAAAACAGTTAAAATTATATTACAGAGATACATGCATGCCCATGTTTATAGAACACAATTTGTAACAGCTAGATCTTGGAAACGGTATATGTCTATCAGCAGATGAACAGATAGGAAAACGTGGTACTTACACACAATGGAACACTATGCTGCCATAAAGAAAGACAAACTTGAGGCATTCCTATGTGAATGGATACAACTAGAGAACACAACCTTAAGTGAAGTAACTCTGACACATAAGCTCAAGTATCAAATGGTTTCTCTTATGTAAGAAACGCAGCCTGGGCAACTTAGCAAGACTTTGTCTCAAAATAAAAAATAAAGGGCTGAGAATGTAGGCCAGTATAGAGGCCCTGAGTTCCATCCTCATCACACACACACACAAAAAAGCTCAATCATGTACAGGCAAGCATAGTGGAGCAGGCCTATAATTCCAAATACTTAAAGAAGCTGAGGCAGAGAGATCATAAATTCAAGACCAGCCTGGACAACTTAGCAATGCCCTGTCTCAAAATAAAAAATAAAATTAAAAAGGCCTGGGGATGTACTGCAGCGATAGAATGCTTACCTAGCATGACCAAAGCCCTGTTCAATTTTTCTTAAAAAAATCAACCATGTGTAGAAGGTAGATGTTTCAAGGGCTGAGGATGGAGTTCAACAGTAGAGATCTTGCTTAGCATGCCTGAAGCTCTGGTTTCCATTCCCAGCACTGCAAAAAGAAAAAAAAATGTTTCAAACCAGGTGTGATGGAAAATGCCTATAATCCCAGCTACTTGGGAAGCTGGGATTATAAATTCAAGGTCAGTCTGGACACCAAGGTGAGACTCTGTCTCAAAATAAAAAATAAAACAAAAGGCCCAGGGATGAAGTTCAGCAGTAAAGACCTTGACCTACCATGCACAAGCCCTTGCAAAAAATAAAAAAGATGTTTTGTATCTGGATGTCATGTTTAACTTCACAAAATATTAAAAGAATAAGATATGTTCACAATACATTATGAAGTGTACCAGGAAATGATAGATAACAAAATAGTACATACACTATCATCCAAATATCTATATGTGTATACAGGTATGTTTACACCTGAGTCTACCATATACATTTATATATCACAATGACACTGGTTATCACTGAAAATTATGGAAATAAAAACATTCTGATTAATATTTATCTGAGTTTTTCTACATTTTCTATAACAAACATAATTACCTTTAGTATCAAAAGAAAACAATAAATCATTTTAAAAACCTTTACTCCACTAACCTACAAATGTGAAGATTACAATGTGGGGCTGGGGATTTAGCTCAGTGGTTTTGCCACCTGCTGTGCAAGCGGAAGGACCCGAGTTTGATCCCTGGTACCAAAAAAAAAAAAACACCCCAAGATTACAATGTGAACACTCCTGCTTTTTCCACCATCTCTGTTTCTACATGTTGGTAAGGAGGAAAAAACTAAATGGATTTATTACAGAACTAAGACCATTCTTCCAGTGCTTTGAGAAGTTGTGTGTGTGGGTAGAGGGGGTTGAAAGTAAATAGAAATACTAAATAATTACTTAAAGAATTACTACTGAAAGCAAAAACCTTTCAAGTGATTTATAATCTTTCAAGTGACTTATATTCTGTTATAGGAAGTCTTAAGAATAATTAGAAGAACACAATTAGAAAGTAGAGAAAGGGGGCTGGGGGATTTAGCTCAATGGCACTGCGCCTGCCTTGCAAGCACAAGGATCTGAGTTTGTTCTCCAATACCAAAAAAAAAAAAAGGTAGAGAAAGGACTTGAATAACATTTCTCCAAAGAAGATATCCAAATGGCCAACATAAACACCTGAAAAGATGCCCACTTCACTAGTCATTAGGGAAATGTAAATCAAAACCATAATGAAGCTACCTATTTCACATCCACTAGGACAGTTAAAATCAAAAGAGAACAAATATATACAGTACAATATATACAAATAATACAGAGAGTGTTGAAGAGAATGTAGAGAAATTGGAACCTTCACACACTGCTGGCAGGAGTGTAAAAAGGCCCAGGCACGTTGGAAACCGGTCTGGAAGCTCCTCAGATGCCATTATGATCCAACAATTCTACTTCTAGGCACATGCATGCAGTCTGCATCAAAACCTGCACACAAATGTTCGTGGCAGCCTCATTCATAACAAGCAAAAACTGGAATTGATCTAAATGCCCATCAAATGATAAATGGATAATCAAATATCCATATGACGGTGTATTATTTGGAAATAAAAAACAAAGTACCAAACATGCTACCAAAGCATGGTACCAAACAGCCTTTAAAAAAAAACAGATCAAGAGCTGGGGATTTAGCTCCCAAGTTTGATCCCCGATTCCAAAAAAAACACCCAGATCAGCCTTTAAAAGAATGTGAAGTGAAAGAAGCCAGTGACAAAAGATCACATATCACATGATTCTGATTACATGAAGTGACTAGAACAGGAAAATCCTTAAAATTAGATAGCGGCAGTGGTTCTGCCATTCTGAAGACACTAAAAACCACTGGAGTATAGTCTAACAGATGGGGACATGGCATACAGGAACTTTGCACTACTTCTGCAACTTTTCTGTAAATTTACAACTTTCGAGATATTTACACACACATGCACACACAATCAGGGAACGAGACATCTTATAAATAGCTAAAGGAAAGGAAGGATTAACAGCATCACAGAACTGTAAAAAGATTCACACACAGTGCCTTCACCAAAAAATGCTGAATAGGTTCCACCACTCCTAGCGCAGAGGTAGGGGCTTCCGGGCCGCCGTACCACCCCTCCCAGCCCAGAGAAAAGGGCTTCCGGGCCGCCATTGCACTGCTCCCAGCACAGAAGAAGGGACTTTCCCGCCGCCATACCATTGTTCCCAGCACGGAGGAAGGGGTTTCCAGGCCGCTGTTCCAGCACTCCCACAGCACAAGAAGGGGCTTCCAGGCCGCTGTTCCACCACTCCCAGCTCAGAGGAGGTGAACCACGCTGGCACCAATGGCACCCCCCACCCCACTGAATTGAGAAAACATGTAAACAAGTCTCAAAACCAGACTTCCAGATCACCTACAGCAACCCCAAAGGGAAATGAGATGAAACACTCTAATACTCAACCACCTGGACTCCCTGAACTGGCAACAAAAGAGGATCTGAAAAAATGAAATCAAAAATAATTTCTCAGATAACAGCAGAGATTGTGCCCATAGTGCAAGACATGATTAATAAATCTAGAGAAGACACACATAAAAAAATAGAGGAGCTGAGGGACATGATGGAATCCCAACATAGGAAACAAATTGAATCTATAA